ATAGCCCTAGCCCTTGCTTCGAACACAGGTGTACTATCCACCAAAGACATGGCTGCGCCAGTCCCGTTGCGGAGGAGGTCTCAGGGGTGACCAAAAAATCAAAGCACAAGTGTCATGCCAAACATCTGCACTTTTGAACCCTTGATTTTTCAACATGTGACGAATGCAACAACCTGCAAAAGGATTCTCCTAGTCCATGACAGCATTCCGTCATCTGGAGCCTGAAGTCACATGAACATCAAATCACACTCATGGCCCTCTGGCCACGGCTTGCACTGGTGGTGATTGACGCCTCAAAAAAAAATGATATGCTCACTCCGCGCGCAAGAGTGAGCGCTTCCCTTCGCCCACAGCTTCAAACCCTTTTGCCCCTCTTGTGCTTCTTCAAGAGTGTCGCTCTGAATTAGTGAGCCCCGTCAGCCCACTAATTATATTCAAAAGCATGGCACTGCGCATCTGGAACTTGGAAATCATTGAAAAGAATTTTTGACTGATCATGAACAACATTCAAGACAAACAGCTGCAACACACGTCCAAAACAACTGAGTGCAAACATTGACACTGCAGGCCACGACCGACATCCGGTGCTGCGGTTTGCACAGCGTGTCCATCATCCCTTCTGTCCAGGTGACAGGATGCCACAACATGTCGTGGACGTGCATTCATGTTGACTGGATGTCTGTTTGAAAAGGTTTGACTGAGTTTGAAACAACAAAACTTTTTATTCCGGTTAATTTCACTTTCAACCCCACGACACACTGAACAACAATGCACATGCCTAGATTGAATCCAGTCTGAGCCCACGACTTCCGTGAAACGTGCTCTCTCCAGAACACTACTGTCCAATCAGTACATGCCGCATCGTTGAAACATGGTGGTTGAACACAAAGATTAATGAAGCTGCAAATGTGGTTGGAAACAAAGTTGCAAAGTTGGACAACACCTTCAATGCCAATTGGACACCCCAAGCGACACTAACTGAGTTCGGAACTGGGTTGCGTCTTTCGCGCCAGGTGAACATGGTTTTCACTGTCCATCGATGCACCATTGTTTCACGTAAAACCAACCACACAAGAAAAAAAACAGAAAGTGCAAAAGTCAGACATCACTGCACAAATGTTGGTCGACTCAGCTCCCAGCAAAACACCTAGTGCATTTGTACGGGAAGAAGTTCCCTGCTGCTTGGATCTGCTCAAAGTTTCGTGACGCAATCTTCCCGCACTTAAGGACAGTTGATTCACCATCGTCTGGGTCACATGCTGAGTCTCTTGCGACATGACAGCAACCACTATGAACATGTCTGAAAACAACTGCACTGATGGACGGCTCTAAGGACTGCGCTAAACCCTCACCGACTATGGGAGCTGCGACCTCTGCATCACGCTCCTCATCCGAAGTTGCATAGTCTCTGCCCAGCACAGGTCTGTCGCTGACATCACTGACCGATGAAATTGACTCAGCTTCAAAATTTTCATTTGATGCAACTGAAGGTGAATAAGGTTCAGACGGTGGTCGCACAAGTTCGAAACCCTCTACATCGGCAGGTTCAAAATGTGCCGTGCCAACTTCACAATTTTCATGCTGATACCAAAACTCTTCTGCATTTGCACTTGCAAGCCACATCATGACTGACTGTAGTGAATTGCAACCCTCTCTAGGCCAACGCTTAGCTCTTGACACATCGGGGTTGAACAGCCCATGTTGTATCGCCGCAGTGATGGCTTCAAGGGCCAACAGCACTGGGGCTTGAGCATCACGACTGTACTCCAAAGCCATCTTGGACCCAGGATCAGTATGGTAACCAGCAAGGCGTCTCAACTCGCCTTCACAGCCTGCCTTCGCCATCATGCTAAGCCATGTTGCCTTCAATGAATGAGTGCCAATGTCTGTCAGCGATGGCACGGGCTCGAAGTTGTTCAGGATCTCTCATAGCCACGTCGTGGCCTGACTCGGCTCCAAGGGGATCAGGGCCCAGCCACCTGCTGCAAGTGGGGCCGGCATAGTTGGGACTCCAGGCCCCGCCGTCAGGCCCTGTTCACTCCTAAGTTGTAACCACGGAGAGGCCCAGTCATAGCCTGAAAGTCCAGGCAAATTGCAAGCCGCTGGCAATAGTCTTTTTGCATGTTTCTGTCTTCCAGCGTTCTTGTGGTGGTACAGCTGGCATTCCAAAAATCCTTTTCCTTGATGCAGGTCTGTCGCAGGTTCATGCTGGCAAAACTGTCCATCGGACCAACGAAGCCTCATATGCAAGACCATGCAGAGGTATCCAGCAAAAACCGACTCCTGAGCAGACCCTTCCATTGCTAAATGTTCCAAAAAGCAAACCTGGGCAACAGTCAAGGGAATCTTCTTCTTTGGAATGACCAGCGGCACAGTTGAAGCACCTTTCACTCGTGGCGACCTAATAGTATCGCCAACATCAGCTCCAAGCATATGAAAAGCGAAAGAAACAGCTTCCAAAAACCTCGTAGCCTTTGTCCTCGGGGCATTGTGCTCCCTCAATTCAGTGACATACATGTAAGCTTCATGCTCTGTAATAGGAAAAATCCTTGCATCTGTAACAAGCACTTTCTTCCACCTCGCAAAGGCCAAAAGTGAAGACGCTCTGGCACGAAGTGTCGCCACTGACTTCACACTCAAGGCGTCACTAACGGACTGCTCAATTGTCTTTGAGTCCGGATCGCCCCTTAGTGCTTCTTCGATCTGCCTTCCAACCATGGAACCAGACAAATTGTCCATCACTATGATCCTCCATGACTCCAAAGCTCTTGCCAATGCTCTGTTCTGTGCGATAGGCCAAGGAATTAGAGATGTAGCCTTGGACCATCTCACAACACCTTGTGCTTCGGCAACAGGGATCGATATCTCTGCATCGTCACGTGGAACTGAAGGGACAAACACTGGCGGCTGAATCAGACGTGGTTTCTTTGCAAAAACAGGATTGATGGGTTCACGTTCCCAGGGCATCTTAATGTCCGCCCGTTTCACTCCAAGTCCAAAAGCAGCCGCATGTATCACAAGATCCATGGCAAAAAGGAGACTCAAAAGTCTCGAAAGTCTCACTACCCCCATTCAGCCTCCGGGAAGTGAGACTTTGTCCCACCCACCCACCCTTGAAACTTAAAAAGACGGATGTCAAAAAACTGTTCAAACAAAACAGAGATCCACAAAAGGATCAAAACACTGAGGTTTGTTTTGACAGTTTGTTTGCAACAGCAACTTAAACAAGTTTGGGAGTTAAGAGGTCAATACCTTAAACTTCCAAAGCGCGAAACGCAGGGACGCGAGGCGCACGCGTGGAGGAAGAGAGGACGGTGGCTTCCCACCTGTAGACTAGGTTTTATAAGGGCTCATCACTAAAGTGAGACGCAACAAACAAGCAGACTACTAAAGAGCATGGATATGCCTGTCATGCTCATGGGCTACTTTACGTTCAAAATAAAAAAATGTTTTTCACTCTTGTGGAAACAGGGTCTGCCTTGAAGCCGTGAAGGCTTTGAAAAAATGAAAAATGACGCTGTGGGTGGTAGAGGCAACAACCGAATCATCAGAAAAAATGAAATCTAAACGTGCCGTGAGGTGGCATGATCTGGACAAGGGAAACATGGATCGAAGCAAAAGCCGATTTTGCTCCGCAACCATTTTGAAAAGACGCGTCGTCAAACAAATGTCTATCTTTCTTGTGCAGCCGGGCAACACATGACAGTGAAGGCAGAAACCTTGAACTACCCAAAAAATGAGGCCCGGAAAAATCGCGAAATTGCACAAGGCTGCACGAAATCAGTAAACTTGGCGCAAATCTTTTTAAAACAATCATTTATCTCCAAATTTCAAGAATTTTCAGGAAATGTTGGATTACACACCTGAAGTTCATCGAATGAGTGGAAAAGATAGAGCGCGCGAAAGCGCACGAAATTGGTTCCTACAATCCTCGGACAAAACTGATGGAAAAGCTGCTGAAACCATTCTACTGAAACCATTCTAAATGTTCAAAATCTAGCCTGCAAAGGCAACAATGGCCACCTTCCGATCATTTTGAAGCTTCAAAATCACACAATTCATCAACCAAATCCCGCACTTTCTTGCAATTTTGTTCGAAGCAAATGTCACCTAAAGTCAGCGCACGAAAGCGCACGAAATTGAGATAGCTGAAATTGCCCGAATTCCTGGAAAAGTGGTTCCGGTGCTGTTCTTTTCTTTTCCAAGTTTCAACGGCTGGATGCTGTACAAAAAAAGATGCTTCGACCAAAAAAACGTTGAGAAGAGAATTCTTGCTGGTCGCGGGCTGCCATTTTTTCATGCGCAGGAGGCAAATCAAGCAAAAAGCATTAGAGACGGGAATCCAGAGCAAACTGAGCAAACCTCAAAAAGCGTCTGTCTTCCAGCCGTGGCAGCGAATTGTTCCCTCAGGCTGGCAACACAATGTCATTCCAAAGATTCCAATGCGAAGTTGAATCAAAGCAACCTGACACCAGGCTGGCCCAATACTTGAGGCACAAGAGCACAGTGTCTTTGCCCCCAAACTTGACTGAATGCTCTTTGAACCACTTTATGCCAGCATTGCGGCTATTGAAGCCACATGTGAAAAAAAACAATCTCAGCCAAAACTTATGAGCCCCAGAGTGCTGCAATTTTGAAGAATGTCAATTTTTTCACCCGGATCCAAAAACACCATCGCAAAAACATTACAAAATTTCATGCTCCAGGAATGCCAACTTAAATTTCTTATTCTCGGTAGAAAGTATCAAACACTTGGTAATGACTATTCTGCCAACAAAATAAAAAAAGTTTGCAAGCGCATTTGTCCCAGCAAGAGCAGAGCAATAACGAAATTTGCTATCGCCCAGCTGAAAGAAACTGTTTTACTGTTTTGGCAAACTAAGCAAGAACAAGTTCTTATCTTGCATTCCTTGCTCAACCACAAACCAAACCAGGCGCTTGCCGCTCTTGGGGCAACTGCTCACAACAAGCTGTCACAACTAGTAATGAATCAGAAGCATTCAGCGAGCAGCTTTGCGAAAGGCGGCCAAAGCTTCTGCGGAAGCGGCCGCCGTTGAGCTGAGCTCATGCTGGCTCACCCCAAAGTGCTCCCCCACTTTGCCTGCCAAACTTTCCTTGTCAGCGTGTGAACTCAGGGCATTGCGCGAAGCAAGGGATATGATCCCTGCCGCTCCTTGCAATCCAGAAGCTCGGTTCGGCAGGCTCGCCAAGCTGATTTTCGCTTTGCAGGTGGCAAGCTTGGGCAGCAGAGCCTGCAACTCCTTCAGCAGCTTGCCTTGCCTGGCGAGGCTGCCGCGCAAGAGTTCACCCAAGCTACGCACAGCAACCACGGCCTTTGGGTCATAGGCGGGCACAGCCACTTGAATTGCTCGCGCCGAGAGATGTTGCTTCGTCGCAGTCCAAGGCATGCACAGCAGAGCCATCCACAGCCAAGCACATGTTCCCCTCTTTGACTTGCCCATCTGCGCTCGCTTCCCACACCCCTGTGCTGCTGTCACACTTTTCCAATTCAAGCTTGTCGCCAGCCAGGCGCACGCAATACCCGGATGCAGTCTGCAACGATCCTTCGCTGGTAAATGTGAACACATCACGGCCATCTCCTGCCACAATTGCATCCAAGCACGGCTCTGCGGTCAGGCCGTGGCCAGAAGACACCACACACTGCTCGCGAACTGCCGGGCCACCACTGACCAGCATAAAGGAATAAGGCGCGCTCATACCGGCAGCAGCTGACAAGCCAAAGTAACCCCATGGTTTGGCTCCCCGCATCAGAACCTTGACTGCTTTCACTGCAACGGGAGCAGCAAACATGATTGTCTCTTCGAAACTTGGCTCGCTGCGGGCGATCTGGCGCCATCCCGCAGCTTCTTCAAAATTTCCCCCGTCCAAACTCGTCAGTACCTTCACCTCTGCTGGAGCGTAGCTCCAACGAAGATTCACCCCGAGCAAGTGCCGTCTGGCCGTGAATGATCCTGTCCAAGAAACAATTTCGCTCGGGCCATGCTTCCTGCCAAACGTTCATCCGCAATACAATGTGATTACAAAACCTGCCTTTCCCAAGTCTCCGGACCCAGCGCTGCACCAATACCTGGCACAAGACAGAAATGCACCAACACATGGCTTTTGCAGCACTAAGCACATCAACAGCTGCGCCCAGATGATTCAAGCGTTGCCAGATCCGCCCCAAAGGATTTTGTGGAATAGACGCTGGAAGCAGAAGCTGCGTCAAAGGCTGTCAGCTTCTGAGCTGCAGCAGGCACCCAAAAAAGCAACACTGCGAACTTAGTCAACATGACACTCACACGTCAGAACGACGACGCCCCGCCCACGCTCTGTCAAATGAAACTGGAGCTTCCAAAGTTTTCAAACACTTGCTCACTGCTCCCGCATCTGATCTCGCCCGGTAGCAAATTTCATATTATGGCTTCTGTGGCCCTCCTTGTCTCTGTGCCTAGAGCCTCCAAGTATAAGCCAAAAAAATAAAATCATAAGAGAGAAATAAGGCAAAAAACAAGCAGACTACTAAAGAGCATGGATATGCCTGTCATGCTCATGGGCTACTTTACGTTCAAAATAAAAAAATGTTTTTCACTCTTGTGGAAACAGGGTCTGCCTTGAAGCCGTGAAGGCTTTGAAAAAATGAAAAAATGACGCTGTGGGTGGTAGAGGCAACAACCGAATCATCAGAAAAAATGAAATCTAAACGTGCCGTGAGGTGGCATGATCTGGACAAGGGAAACATGGATCGAAGCAAAAACCGATTTTGCTCCGCATCCATTTTGAAAAGACGCGTCGTCAAACAAATGTCTATCTTTCTTGTGCAGCCGGGCAACACGTGACAGTGAAGGCAGAAACCTTGAACTACCAAAAAAATGAGGCCCGGAAAAACCGCGAAATTGCACAAGGTTGCACGAAATCAGTAAACTTGGCGCAAATCTTTTTTAAACAATCATTTATCTCCAAATTTCAAGAATTTTCAGGAAATGTTGGATTACACACCTGAAGTTCATCGAATGAGTGGAAAAGATAGAGCGCGCGAAAGCGCACGAAATTGGTTCCTACAATCCTCAAACAAAACTGATGGAAAAGCTGCTGAAACCATTCTACTGAAACCATTCTAAATGTTCAAAATCTAGCCTGCAAAGGCAACAATGGCCACCTTCCGATCATTTTGAAGCTTCAAAATCACACAATTCATCAACCAAATCCTGCACTTTCTTGCAATTTTGTTCGAAGCAAATGTCACCTAAAGTCAGCGCACGAAAGCGCACGAAATTGAGATAGCTGAAATTTCCCGAATTCCTTGGAAAAGTGGTTCCGGTGCTGTTCTTTTCTTATCCAAGTCCCAACGGCTGGATGCTGTACAAAAAACGATGTTTCGACAAAACAAAACCTTGAGAAGAGAATTCGTGCTGGTCGCGTGCTGCGTGCTGCCATTTTTTCATGCGCAGGAGGCAAATCAAGCAAAAAGCATTAGAGACGGGAATCCAGAGCAAACTGAGCAAACCTCAAAAAGCCTCTGTCTTCCAGCCGTGGCAGCGAATTGTTCCCTCAGGCTGGCAACACAATGTCATTCCAAAGATTCCAATGCGAAGTTGAATCAAAGCAACCTGACACCAGGCTGGCCCAATACTTGAGGCACAAGAGCACAGTGTCTTTGCCCCCAAACTTGACTGAATGCTCTTTGAACCACTTTATGCCAGCATTGCGGCTATTGAAGCCACATGTGAAAAAAAAACAATATCAGCCAAAACTTATGAGCCCCAGAGTGCTGCACACCTTGAATTTTGAAGAATGTCAGTTTTTTCACCCGGATCCAAAAACACCATCGCAAAAACATTACAAAATTTCATGCTCCAGGAATGCCAACTTAAATTTCTTATTCCCGGTAGAAAGTATCAAACACTTGGTAATGACTATTCTGCCAACAAAATATAAAAAAAGTTTGCAAGCGCATTTGTCCCAGCAAGAGCAGAGCAATAACGAAATTTGCTATCGCCCAGCTGAAAGAAACTGTTTTACTGTTTTGGCAAACTAAGCAAGAACAAGTTCTTATCTTGCATTCCTTGCTCAACCACAAACCAAACCAGGCGCTTGCCGCTCTTGGGGCAACTGCTCACAACAAGCTGTCACAACTAGTAATGAATCAGAAGCATTCAGCGAGCAGCTTTGCGAAAGGCGGCCAAAGCTTCTGCGGAAGCGGCCGCCGTTGAGCTGAGCTCATGCTGGCTCACCCCAAAGTGCTCCCCCACTTTGCCTGCCAAACTTTCCTTGTCAGCGTGTGAACTCAGGGCATTGCGCGAAGCAAGGGATATGATCCCTGCCGCTGCTTGCAATCCAGAAGCTCGGTTCGGCAGGCTCGCCAAGCTGATTTTCGCTTTGCAGGTGGCAAGCTTGGGCAGCAGAGCCTGCAACTCCTTCAGCAGCTTGCCTTGCCTGGCGAGGCTGCCGCGCAAGAGTTCACCCAAGCTACGCACAGCAACCACGGCCTTTGGGTCATAGGCGGGCACAGCCACTTGAAAGAAATTGCTCGCGCCGAGAGATGCTGCTTCGTCGCAGTCCAAGGCATGCACAGCAGAGCCATCCACAGCCAAGCACATGTTCCCCTCTTTGACTTGCCCATCTGCGCTCGCTTCCCACACCCCTGTGCTGCTGTCACACTTTTCCAATTCAAGCTTGTCGCCAGCCAGGCGCACGCAATACCCGGATGCAGTCTGCAACGATCCTTCGCTGGTAAATGTGAACACATCACGGCCATCTCCTGCCACAATTGCATCCAAGCACGGCTCTGCGGTCAGGCCGTGGCCAGAAGACACCACACACTGCTCGCGAACTGCCGGGCCGCCACTGACCAGCATGAAGGAGTAAGGCGCGCTCACACCGGCAGCAGCTGACAAGCCAAAGTAACCCCATGGTTTGGCTCCCCGCATCAGAACCTTGACTGCTTTCGCTGCAACGGGAGCAGCAAACATGATTGTCTCTTCGAAACTTGGCTCGCTGCGGGCGATCTGGCGCCATCCCGCAGCTTCTTCAAAATTGCCCCCGTCCAAACTCGTCAGTACCTTCACCTCTGCTGGAGCGTAGCTCCAACGAAGATTCACCCCGAGCAAGTGCCGTCTGGCCGTGAATGATCCTGTCCAAGAAACAATTTCGCTCGGGCCATGCTTCCTGCCAAACGTTCATCCGCAATACAATGTGATTACAAAACCTGCCTTTCCCAAGTCTCCGGACCCAGCGCTGCACCAATACCTGGCACAAGACAGAAATGCACCAACACATGGCTTTTGCAGCACTGAGCACATCAACAGCTGCGCCCAGATGATTCAAGCGTTGCCAGATCCGCCCCAAAGGATTTTGTGGAATAGACGCTGGAAGCAGAAGCTGCGTCAAAGGCTGTCAGCTTCTGAGCTGCAGCAGGCACCCAAAAAAGCAACACTGCGAACTTAGTCAACATGACACTCACACGTCAGAACGACGACGCCCCGCCCACGCTCTGTCAAATGAAACTGGAGCTTCCAAAGTTTTCAAACACTTGCTCACTGCTCCCGCATCTGATCTCGCCCGGTAGCAAATTTCATATTATGGCTTCTGTGGCCCTCCTTGTCTCTGTGCCTAGAGCCTCCAAGTATAAGCCAAAAAAATAAAATCATAAGAGAGAAATAAGGCAAAAAACAAGCAGACTACTAAAGAGCATGGATATGCCTGTCATGCTCATGGGCTACTTTACGTTCAAAATAAAACAATGTTTTTCACTCTTGTGGAAACAGGGTCTGCCTTGAAGCCGTGAAGGCTTTGAAAAAATGAAAAAATGACGCTGTGGGTGGTAGAGGCAACAACCGAATCATCAGAAAAAATGAAATCTAAACGTGCCGTGAGGTGGCATGATCTGGACAAGGGAAACATGGATCGAAGCAAAAGCCGATTTTGCTCCGCATCCATTTTGAAAAGACGCGTCGTCAAACAAATGTCTATCTTTCTTGTGCAGCCGGGCAACACATGACAGTGAAGGCAGAAACCTTGAACTACCCAAAAAAATGAGGCCCGGAAAAATCGCGAAATTGCACAAGGTTGCACGAAATCAGTAAACTTGGCGCAAATCTTTTTTAAACAATCATTTATCTCCAAATTTCAAGAATTTTCAGGAAATGTTGGATTACACACCTGAAGTTCATCGAATGAGTGGAAAAGATAGAGCGCGCGAAAGCGCACGAAATTGGTTCCTACAATCCTCGAACAAAACTGATGGAAAAGCTGCTGAAACCATTCTACTGAAACCATTCTAAATGTTCAAAATCTAGCCTGCAAAGGCAACAATGGCCACCTTCCGATCATTTTGAAGCTTCAAAATCACACAATTCATCAACCAAATCCTGCACTTTCTTGCAATTTTGTTCGAAGCAAATGTCACCTAAAGTCAGCGCACGAAAGCACACGAAATTGAGATAGCTGAAATTGCCCGAATTCCTTGGAAAAGTGGTTCCGGTGCTGTTCTTTTCTTATCCAAGTCCCAACGGCTGGATGCTGTACAAAAAACGATGTTTCGACAAAACAAAACCTTGAGAAGAGAATTCGTGCTGGTCGCGTGCTGCGTGCTGCCATTTTTTCATGCGCAGGAGGCAAATCAAGCAAAAAGCATTAGAGACGGGAATCCAGAGCAAACTGAGCAAACCTCAAAAAGCCTCTGTCTTCCAGCCGTGGCAGCGAATTGTTCCCTCAGGCTGGCAACACAATGTCATTCCAAAGATTCCAATGCGAAGTTGAATCAAAGCAACCTGACACCAGGCTGGCCCAATACTTGAGGCACAAGAGTTCAGTGTCTTTGCCCCCAAACTTGACTGAATGCTCTTTGAACCACTTTATGCCAGCATTGCGGCTATTGAAGCCACATGTGAAAAAAAACAATATCAGCCAAAACTTATGAGCCCCAGAGTGCTGCACACCTTGAATTTTGAAGAATGTCAGTTTTTTCACCCGGATCCAAAAACACCATCGCAAAAACATTACAAAATTTCATGCTCCAGGAATGCCAACTTAAATTTCTTATTCCCGGTAGAAAGTATCAAACACTTGGTAATGACTATTCTGCCAACAAAATAAAAAAAAGTTTGCAAGCGCATGTGTCCCAGCAAGAGCCAGAGCAATAACGAAAAATTTGATATCGCCCCAAGCTGAAAGGAAACTGATTACGTTTTGGCCAAAACTAAGCAGAACCAAAGTTCTTGAGTCTTGCATCCTTGCTCACCCACCCAAGACCAACCCAGTGCGTTTTGCCGCTCTTGGGGGCAACTGTTCACCACAAGCTGTCACAAAGACTTAGTAATGAAGCAGAAGCTATTCAGCGAGCAGTCTTTGCGAAAGGCGGCAAAGCTTCTGCGGAAAAAGCGGACGCCGTTGGTGAGTCATGCTGGCTCCACCCAAGTGCTCCCCCACTGTGACTGCCAATAATTTCCTTGTCAGCGCTGTGAAAACTCAGGGCATTTGCGCGAAGCAGGGCTATGATCCCTTTGCCGCTGCTTGCAATCCAGAAGCTCGGTTCGGCAGGCTCGCCAAGCTGATTTTCGCTTTGCAGGTGGCAAGCTTGGGCAGCAGAGCCTGCAACTCCTTCAGCAGCTTGCCTTGCCTGGCAAGGCTGCCGCGCAAGAGTTCACCCAAGCTACGCACAGCAACCACGGCCTTTGGGTCATAGGCGGGCACAGCCACTTGAAAGAAATTGCTCGCGCCGAGAGATGCTGCTTCGTCGCAGTCCAAGGCATGCACAGCAGAGCCATCCACAGCCAAGCACATGTTCCCCTGTTTGACTTGCCCATCTGCGCTCGCTTCCCACACCCCTGTGCTGCTGTCACACTTTTCCAATTCAAGCTTGTCGCCAGCCAGGCGCACGCAATACCCGGATGCAGTCTGCAACGATCCTTCGCTGGTAAATGTGAACACATCACGGCCATCTCCTGCCACAATCGCATCCAAGCACGGCTCTGCGGTCAGGCCGTGGCCAGAAGACACCACACACTGCTCGCGAACTGCCGGGCCGCCACTGACCAGCATGAAGGAGTAAGCGGGTCACACCGGCAGAAGCTGGACAAGCCAAAGTAGTAGCCTAACCCATGCGTTTGGCTCCCCGCATCCAGAACACTGACTAGTTTCGCTTGGCCACGGGGAAGCAGCCCAAACAGATTCTGCTTCTTCGAAATTGGCTCGCTGCGGGACGATTCTGGCGCCAAATCCCGAAGATTCTTCAAAAGTGCCCCGTCAAGCGCGTCACAGGACCTTCACCTCGCTGGAGCGTAGTCCAACGAAAGATTCACTCCCGGAGAAGGCCGTCTGGCCGTGGAATGATCTGTCCAAGACAACAAAGTTCGTCGGCCTCTTCCTGCCAAAACGTTCATCCGCAATAACAATGTGAGTACAAACCCTGCCTTTCCCAAGTATCGGACCCCAGCGCTGCACCAATGACCTGGCACAAGGACAGAAATGCACAACACAGGCGTTTGCAGTCACTTTAAGCACATTCACCCAAAGGATTTTGTGGAATAGACGCTGGAAGCAGAAGCTGCGTCAAAGGCTGTCAGCTTCTGAGCTGCAGCAGGCACCCAAAAAAGCAACACTGCAAACTTAGTCAACATGACACTCACACGTCAGAACGACGACGCCCTGCTCACTGCTCCCGCATCTGATCTCGCCCGGTAGCAAATTTCATATTATGGCTTCTGTGGCCCTCCTTGTCTCCGTGCCTAGAGCCTCCAGGTATAAGCCAAAAAAATAAAATCATAAGAGAGAAATAAGGCAAAAAACAAGCAGACAACTAAAGAGCATGGATATGCCTGTCATGCTCATGGGCTACTTTACGTTCAAAATAAAACAATGTTTTTCACTCTTGTGGAAACAGGGTCTGCCTTGAAGCCGTGAAGGCTTTGAAAAAATGAAAAAATGACGCTGTGGGTGGTAGAGGCAACAACCGAATCATCAGAAAAAATGAAATCTAAACGTGCCGTGAGGTGGCATGATCTGGACAAGGGAAACATGGATCGAAGCAAAAGCCGATTTTGCTCCGCATCCATTTTGAAAAGACGCGTCGTCAAACAAATGTCTATCTTTCTTGTGCAGCCGGGCAACACATGACAGTGAAGGCAGAAACCTTGAACTACCCAAAAAAATGAAGCCCGGAAAAACCGCGAAATTTTACAAGGTTGAACGAAATCAGTAAACTTGGCGCAAATCTTTTTTAAACAATCATGTATCTCCAAATTTCAAGAATTTTCAGGACATGTTGGATTACACACCTGAAGTTCATCGAATGAGTGGAAAAGATAGAGCGCGCGAAAGCGCACGAAATTGGTTCCTACAATCCTCGAACAAAACTGATGGAAAAGCTGCTGAAACCATTCTACTGAAACCATTCTAAATGTTCAAAATCTAGCCTGCAAAGGCAACAATGGCCACCTTCCGATCATTTTGAAGCTTCAAAATCACACAATTCATCAACCAAATCCTGCACTTTCTTGCAATTTTGTTCGAAGCAAATGTCACCTAAAGTCAGCGCACGAAAGCGCACGAAATTGAGATGCTGTACAAAAAGACGATGTTTCGACCAGGAAAACCTTGAGAAGAGAATTCGTGCTGGTCGCGTGCTGCGTGCTGCCATTTTTTCATGCGCAGGAAGCAAATCAAGCAAAAAGCATTAGAGACGGGAATCCAGAGCAAACTGAGCAAACTGAGCAAACCGCGTCTGTCTTCCAGCCGTGGCAGCGAATTGTTCCCTCAGGCTGGCAACACAATGTCATTCCAAAGATTCCAATGCGAAGTTGAATCAAAGCAACCTGACACCAGGCTGGCCCAATACTTGAGGCACAAGAGCACAGTGTCTTTGCCCCCAAACTTGACTGAACGCTCTTTGAACCACTTTATCCCAGCATTGCGGCTATTGAAGCCACATGTGAAAAAAAAACAATATCAGCCAAAACTTGTTAGCCCCTGAGTGGCGCACACTTTTTGAAGAATGTCAATTTTTTCACCCGGATCCAAAAACACCATCGCAAAACATTACAAATTTTCATGCCCCAGGAATTCCAATTTCTTTTTCCTGGTAGAAAAATTCAATTTGCTCATTTCTCTGACACTTGGTAATGACTACTCTGCCAGCAACATTTTAAAAAGTTGCACGCGCATTTGTCCCAGCAAGAGCAGAGCAATAACGAAACTTGCTATCGCCCAGCTGAAAGAAACTGTTTTACTGTTTTGGCAAACTAAGCAAGAACAAGTCCTTATCTTGCATTCCTTGCTCAACCACAAACCAAACCAGGCGCTTGCCGCTCTTGGGGCAACTGCTCACAACAAGCTGTCACAACTAGTAATGAATCAGAAGCATTCAGCGGGCAGCTTTGCGAAAGGCGGCCAAAGCTTCTGCGGAAGCGGCCGCCGTTGAGCTGAGCTCATGCTGGCTCACCCCAAAGTGCTCCCCCACTTTGCCTGCCAAACTTTCCTTGTCAGCGTGTGAACTCAAGGCATTGCGCGAAGCAAGGGATATGATCCCTGCCGCTGCTTGCAATCCAGAAGCTCGGTTCGGCAGGCTCGCCAAGCTGATTTTCGCTTTGCAGGTGGCAAGCTTGGGCAGCAGAGCCTGCAACTCCTTCAGCAGCTTGCCTTGCCTGGCGAGGCTGCCGCGCAAGAGCTCACCCAAGCTACGCACAGCAACCACAGCCTTTGGGTCATAGGCGGGCACAGCCACTTGAAAGAAATTGCTTGCGCCGAGAGATGCTGCTTCGTCGCAGTCCAAGGCATGCACAGCAGAGCCATCCACAGCCAAGCACATGTTCCCCTGTTTGACTTGCCCATCTGCGCTCGCTTCCCACACCCCTGTGCTGCTGTCACACTTTTCCAATTCAAGCTTGTCGCCAGCCAGGCGCACGCAATACCCGGACGCAGTCTGCAACGATCCTTCGCTGGTAAATGTGAACACATCACGGCCATCTCCTGCCACAATTGCATCCAAGCACGGCTCTGCGGTCAGGCCGTGGCCAGAAGACACCACACACTGCTCGCGAACTGCCGGGCCACCACTGACCAGCATAAAGGAGTAAGGCGCGCTCATACCGGCAGCAGCTGACAAGCCAAAGTAACCCCATGGTTTGGCTCCCCGCATCAGAACCTTGACTGCTTTCGCTGCAACGGGAGCAGCAAACATGATTGTCTCTTCGAAACTTGGCTCACTGCGGGCGATCTGGCGCCATCCCGCAGCTTCTTCAAAATTGCCCCCGTCCAAACTCGTCAGTACCTTCACCTCTGCTGGAGCGTAGCTCCAATGGAGATTCACCCCGAGCAAGTGCCGTCTGGCCGTGAATGATCCTGTCCAAGAAACAATTTCGCTCGGGCCATGCTTCCTGCCAAACGTTCATCCGCAATGCAATGTGATTACAAAACCTGCCTTTCCCAAGTCTCCGGACCCAGCGCTGCACCAATACCTGGCACAAGACAGAAATGCACCAACACATGGCTTTTGCAGCACTGAGCACATCAACAGCTGCGCCCAGATGATTCAAGCGTTGCCAGGTCTGCCCCAAAGGATTTTGTGGAATAGATGCTGGAAGCAGAAGCTGCGTCAAAGGCTGTCAGCTTCTGAGCTGCAGCAGGCACCCAAAAAAGCAACACTGCGAACTTAGTCAACATGACACTCACACGTCAGAACGACGACGCCCCGCCCACGCTCTGTCAAATGAAACTGGAGCTTCCAAAGTTTTCAAACACTTGCTCACTGCTCCCGCATCTGATCTCGCCCGGTAGCAAATTTCATATTATGGCTTCTGTGGCCCTCGTTGTCTCTGTGCCTAGATCCTCCAAGTATAAGCCAAAAAAATAAAAATCATAAGAGAGAAATAAGGCAAAAAACAAGCAGACTACTAAAGAGCATGGATATGCCTGTCATGCTCATTGGCTACTTTACGTTCAAAATAAAAAATGTTTTTCACTCTTGTGGAAACAGGGTCTGCCTTGACGCCGTGAAGGCTTTGAAAAAATGAAAAAATGACGCTGTGGGTGGTAGAGGCAACAACCGAATCATCAGAAAAAATGAAATCTAAACGTGCCGTGAGGTGGCATGATCTGGACAAGGGAAACATGGATCGAAGCAAAAGCCGATTTTGCTCCGCATCCATTTTGAAAAGACGCGTCGTCAAACAAATGTCTATCTTTCTTGTGCAGCCGGGCAACACATGACAGTGAAGGCAGAAACCTTGAACTACCCAAAAAAATGAAGCCCGGAAAAACCGCGAAATTTTACAAGGTTGAACGAAATCAGTAAACTTGGCGCAAATCTTTTTTAAACAATCATGTATCTCCAAATTTCAAGAATTTTCAGGACATGTTGGATTACACACCTGAAGTTCATCGAATGAGTGGAAAAGATAGAGCGCGCGAAAGCGCACGAAATTGGTTCCTACAATCCTCGAACAAAACTGATGGAAAAGCTGCTGAAACCATTCTACTGAAACCATTCTAAATGTTCAAAATCTAGCCTGCAAAGGCAACAATGGCCACCTTCCGATCATTTTGAAGCTTCAAAATCACACAATTCATCAACCAAATCCTGCACTTTCTTGCAATTTTGTTCGAAGCAAATGTCACCTAAAGTCAGCGCACGAAAGCGCACGAAATTGAGATGCTGTACAAAAAGACGATGTTTCGACCAGGAAAACCTTGAGAAGAGAATTCGTGCTGGTCGCGTGCTGCGTGCTGCCATTTTTTCATGCGCAGGAAGCAAATCAAGCAAAAAGCATTAGAGACGGGAATCCAGAGCAAACTGAGCAAACTGAGCAAACCGCGTCTGTCTTCCAGCCGTGGCAGCGAATTGTTCCCTCAGGCTGGCAACACAATGTCATTCCAAAGATTCCAATGCGAAGTTGAATCAAAGCAACCTGACACCAGGCTGGCCCAATACTTGAGGCACAAGAGCACAGTGTCTTTGCCCCCAAACTTGACTGAACGCTCTTTGAACCACTTTATCCCAGCATTGCGGCTATTGAAGCCACATGTGAAAAAAAAACAATATCAGCCAAAACTTGTTAGCCCCTGAGTGGCGCACACTTTTTGAAGAATGTCAATTTTTTCACCCGGATCCAAAAACACCATCGCAAAAACATTACAAAATTTCATGCTCCAGGAATGCCAACTTAAATTTCTTATTCTCGGTAGAAAGTATCAAACACTTGGTAATGACTATTCTGCCAACAAAATAAAAAAAAGTTTGCAAGCGCATTTGTCCCAGCAAGAGCAGAGCAATAACGAAATTTGCTATCGCCCAGCTGAAAGAAACTGTTTTACTGTTTTGGCAAACTAAGCAAGAACAAGTTCTTATCTTGCATTCCTTGCTCAACCACAAACCAAACCAGGCGCTTGCCGCTCTTGGGGCAACTGCTCACAACAAGCTGTCACAACTAGTAATGAATCAGAAGCATTCAGCGAGCAGCTTTGCGAAAGGCGGCCAAAGCTTCTGCAGAAGCGGCCGCCGTTGAGCTGAGCTCATGCTGGCTCACCCCAAAGTGCTCCCCCACTTTGCCTGCCAAACTTTCCTTGTCAGCGTGTGAACTCAGGGCATTGCGCGAAGCAAGGGATATGATCCCTGCCGCTGCTTGCAATCCAGCAGCTCGGTTCGGCAGGCTCGCCAAGCTGATTTTCGCTTTGCAGGTGGCAAGCTTGGGCAGCAGAGCCTGCAACTCCTTCAGCAGCTTGCCTTGCCTGGCGAGGCTGCCGCGCAAGAGCTCACCCAAGCTACGCACAGCAACCACAGCCTTTGGGTCATAGGCGGGCACAGCCACTTGAAAGAAATTGCTCGCGCCGAGAGATGCTGCTTCGTCGCAATCCAAGGCATGCACAGCAGAGCCATCCACAGCCAAGCACATGTTCCCCTGTTTGACCTGCCCATCTGCGCTCACTTCCCACACCCCTGTGCTGCTGTCACACTTTTCCAATTCAAGCTTGTCGCCAGCCAGGCGCACGCAATACCCGGACGCAGTCTGCAACGATCCTTCGCTGGTAAATGTGAACACATCACGGCCATCTCCTGCAACAATTGCATCCAAGCACGGCTCTGCGTTAAGGCCGTGGCCAGAAGACACCACACACTGCTCGCGAACTGCCGGGCCGCCACTGACCAGCATGAAGGAGTAAGGCGCGCTCACACCGGCAGCAGCTGACAAGCCAAAGTAACCCCATGGTTTGGCTCCCCGCATCAGAACCTTGACTGCTTTCGCTGCAACGGGAGCAGCAAACATGATTGTCTCTTCGAAACTTGGCTCACTGCGGGCGATCTGGCGCCATCCCGCAGCTTCTTCAAAATTGCCCCCGTCCAAACTCGTCAGTACCTTCACCTCTGCTGGAGCGTAGCTCCAATGGAGATTCACCCCGAGCAAGTGCCGTCTGGCCGTGAATGATCCTGTCCAAGAAACAATTTCGCTCGGGCCATGCTTCCTGCCAAACGTTCATCCGCAATGCAATGTGATTACAAAACCTGCCTTTCCCAAGTCTCCGGACCCAGCGCTGCACCAATACCTGGCACAAGACAGAAATGCACCAACACATGGCTTTTGCAGCACTGAGCACATCAACAGCTGCGCCCAGATGATTCAAGCGTTGCCAGGTCTGCCCCAAAGGATTTTGTGGAATAGATGCTGGAAGCAGAAGCTGCGTCAAAGGCTGTCAGCTTCTGAGCTGCAGCAGGCACCCAAAAAAGCAACACTGCGAACTTAGTCAACATGACACTCACACGTCAGAACGACGACGCCCCGCCCACGCTCTGTCAAATGAAACTGGAGCTTCCAAAGTTTTCAAACACTTGCTCACTGCTCCCGCGTCTGATCTCGCCCGGTAGCAAATTTCATATTATGGCTTCTGTGGCCCTCGTTGTCTCTGTGCCTAGATCCTCCAAGTATAAGCCAAAAAAAAAATCATAAGAGAGAAATAAGGCAAAAAACAAGCAGACTACTGAAGAGCATGGATATGCCTGTCATGCTCATTGGCTACTTTACGTTCAAAATAAAAAATGTTTTTCGCTCTTGTGGAAACAGGGTCTGCCTTGAAGCCGTGAAAATGACGCTGTGGGTGGTAGAGGCAACAACCGAATCATCAGAAAAAATGAAATCTAAGCGTGCCGTGAGGTGGCATGATCTGGACAAGGGAAACATGGTTGGCAGAAAGCACTTGACGGCAAAACGATATAAAGGAATTCCTGTGGAGTTAGAACTCATTATGGCTCTGCGGCTCACAGGCCCAAGATTTTCCCGCCAGCAAAGTCAAAGCGCAGCAAACTGTCTTTGTGGCATACTGGCGGCAAGCGTGTGCACCCCGCGCGAATCACAAAACCAAGAAAGAAACACACAAAATAGATCGAAGCAAAAACCGATTTTGCTCCGCATCCATTTTGAAAAGACGCGTCCTCAAACAAATGTCAATCTTTCTTGTGCAGCCGGGCAACACGTGACAGTGAAGGCAGAAACCTTGAACTACCAAAAAAAATGAAGCCCGGAAAAAACCGCGAAATTGCACAAGGTTGCACGAAATCAGAAAACTTGGCACAAATCTTTTTTAAACAATCATTTATCTCCAAATGCAAGAATTTTCAGGACATGTTGGGTTACACACCTGAAGTTCATCGAATGAGTGGAAAAAATAGAGCGCACGAAAGCGCACGAAATTGGTTCCTACAATCCTCGAACAAAACTGATGGAAAAGCTGCTGAAACCATTCTACTGAAACCATTCTAAGTGTTCAAAATCCAGCCTGGAAAAGCAAGGAATGGCCACCTTCCGATCATTTTCTTGCAATTTTGTTCGAAGCAAATGTCACCTAAAGTCAGCGCACGAAAGCGCACGAAATTGAGATAGCTGAAATTGCCCGAATTCCTGGAAAAGTGGTTCCGGTGCTGTTCTTTTCTTTTCCAAGTTTCAACGGCTGGATGCTGTACAAAAAAAGATGCTTCGACCAAAAAAACGTTGAGAAGAGAATTCGTGCTGGTCGCGGGCTGCCATTTTTTCATGCGCAGGAGGCAAATCAAGCAAAAAGCATTAGAGACGGGAATCCAGAGCAAACTGAGCAAACCTCAAAAAGCGTCTGTCTTCCAGCCGTGGCAGCGAATTGTTCCCTTAGGCTGGCAACACGGTGTCATTCCAAAGATTCCAATGCGAAGTTGAATCAAAGCAACTTGACACCAGGCTGGCCCAATACCTGAGGCACAAGAGCACAGTGTCTTTGCCCCCAAACTTGACTGAACGCTCTTTGGTGCACTTTATCCCAGCATTGCGGCTATTGAAGCCACATGTGAAAAAAAACAATATCAGCCAAAACTTGTTAGCCCCTGAGTGGCGCACACTTTTTGAAGAATGTCAATTTTTTCACCCGGATCCAAAAACACCATCGCAAAATCGCAAAACATTACAAATTTTCATGCCCCAGGAATTCCAACTTTAATTTCTTATTCCTGGTAGAAAGTATCAATTTGCTCATTTCTCTGACACTTGGTAATGACTACTCTGCCAGCAACATTTTAAAAAGTTGCGCGCGCATTTGTCCCAGCAAGAGCAAAGCAATAACGAAACTTGCTATCGCCCAGCTGAAAGAAATTGTTTTACTGTTTTGGCAAACTAAGCAAGAACAAGTCCTTATCTTTATTTCCAACTCCACAACAAACACACAAACACAACACTCGAGGGGAAATTTTTCCAGCGGAGCTGGTAAAATTCGCCACGTTCGTTGAACCAAACTTGTTGTGAAAGTTCGCGCGTCTTTTCGCCTTCTAACAAAAAAAACGCGTTCACGAAAAACTGGAGAATGCAGTCACCGAAAAAATCAAAACTTTGAAATAATGTCGGATGGTTCGATCACAAGGTGAATGACAGGTTGAAAGGAAGCTTTCGGTCCGATCCCTTTTTTCAACGCAGATGGGGCGAGGTCTCACCTATCCGGCTCCAAGGCTTAGGGATAGGCATATTTTGAAAAAGCAGGGTGGGAAACACATCGTGTTGGGTGGGACAAGTCTTTTGTCAAAATTTTTGGACAAGCCCAACCCACCCTACCCTTGAACGGAAATGCATACGATTTCGAAATTCACAGGAAGTGTTCTTTGATGTTTGTGTGTTAGGTTTTGTGTTTGTTGATTGTCAAAAGGACAAAAAGGAAAAACACAAAACATAGGTTGCGTGAGGAAATAAAATCGAGTTTCTTTTCAAGAAACTCTCAACTTATTTCCAACTCCACAACAAACACACAAACACAACACTCGAAGGGAAATTTTTCCAGCGGAGCTGGTAAAATTCGCCACGTTCGTTGAACCAAACTTGTTGTGAAAGTTCGCGCGTCTTTTCGCCTTCTAACAAAAAAACGCGTTCACGAAAAACTGGAGAATGCAGTCACCGAAAAAATCAAAACTTTGAAATAATGTCGGATGGTTCGATCACAAGGTGAATGACAGGTTGAAAGGAAGCTTTCGGTCCGATCCCTTTTTTCAACGCAGATGGGGCGAGGTCTCACCTATCCGGCTCCACCCCACCTAGCTTAAGGTGATTTCCGAGCCGCTCCCAGTCTATGACGGTTTGGCCGACACCCTTTTCCTTAAACCAGGTGGTGATGAGCCTGCTGGCTCCATCTGAGGGATTGCTGTGACTGGGACATCTTCCAAACCATACGTGATGCTGCATCTCCGCTTCCAAACATACAAAGTCGTGAACCATGCTGGATGCACATGCTGTCTCTCTAGATCCTTTCACAAAAGCCATCCTGGATGACTCGTTGTCTATGTAGTATACGATGAGGGCTCCTGCAAACATACGCCCCCAGCAAAAACAAGCTGTGACCACTGGGAGAATCTCGAGCTCGTGGATGGGGTTCATGGAGTGCAAGAAAAATTCTGCCAGTATGCATTCAGGAACAACTTCGCTAAAGAAAGAATGACAAACGCCACAAGGAGAAATTATGAGCCCGCCGATGCTTCCTTCTCGTCTTTCTGGAGTGCAAGCACCATCCGTGAAGATGATCCACGTATCCAGCATGGGTCTGCCAACAGTTATCGGCGGGGCGCTCAACACCCTATCTCGCAAAACAAGCAAACTTCCTTTCAGCGAATCGTCAAGGCGTTTTCGACCACCTCTTTCAACACAGAACCGGCTGAGGTTCCGCACGGCCGAGTTGGCTGTTCTTCCAAAAGTGTAGCCCTCGTAGAAAACCATGCGACCTCTGAGTCTCTCAGCTTCCTTCGGATCAAGCCATCCCTCAGCTAGGATGTCGTTGATTTTTGTAACCAGCTCCAGCTTGCGCTCTTCAGTGTGTCCAATGGTCATTTCAAATTGTTCGGAGCTTTCGAGGTCAATCTCGAGTCCCAACATCTTGAACTTCTTGTTGAAAGGCTGGAACTTCTTCCCATCCTTGGCATAGCTCAGGCCAAGCAACGTCAGCAAAGTCTCAATGCTCCAAGAAGTGTTGTCCAGGAGTTCTCTCCTGCTCAGCGCACTGAAGTCGTCGTAGAAGACGGTCCAGCAGATATTCAAAGCAACCAGGCCTATAAACCATACTCCTAAACTCACACGGAGGAATCCTGCCACACTACCCACCGCACCGAAAGGCAGTGCGTTGAAGCCCAGTAGCTTCAGTGACTGGTCTGTAGAGGAGCGCACTGCCATGCGTAGATGTGCCCTGTCAGCTGAATGTACTGCGAATTGCTTGTACGTGCTTTTCAGGTCGTAGCATCTTCCATAGACGCTAGGAAACTTTGTCCCAGCACAAGCTTTGAATGCCTCGGCAACAATCGAGGCAAGAATGTCAATTGACTGAAGTTGAAATTTTTCATGTAAACCAACTGTCCAGTTCAGCCCACAGCATGAGCAGTCATCGATCACTCTAACCTTGTTCGACTGCCTGATTCCGAACCTTTTCCCAATAAACTTTTGGCTGTGTTCACCTTCGTCCTCATCAAACCAAACCCAACCTTTGCTTATCTCTTGTTCGGTCTCATTCCATGCAGCTTCCTCGATGTCAGACTCCTGTCTAACAGTCATGCTCCTGTAGGTCGTTGCATTCAGCGCCTTAGCAAGGCCTTTCAGAGTGTCCATTGACATGGAGGGCCTCTTCGTGCGAGTTTTGAAAACGTTGGACTTTGGCATCCAACCGCTGAGTTTGAAGCCGCAAGCAATGTCATCTATGAGAGTTTCATCCGGATATCCAAAGTCCCGGAGGATTTCCTGCCAAAGTACAAGTCTTTTGTTGCCCACCAGCTCACGCACGTGGGGGGGCATCTTTGCCCTTAAACGCTCTTCCTCAGGTTGTAGTTCTGACGCCCTTTTTATGTATTTCTTGAAAAAGCCCACTCGTTCCATTGCAAGTTCAGCTGGTTCCGCAATGAAGTTTGCATGTATCATGCTTTTGACTTGCGGGTCAACATACTGGTCAAGGCTGCGTGGATGGCCTGCTGCAATAGCA